AAAAAAAAAAAAAAAAAAAGAATCCGCCTGCCAACGTGGAGGACACGGGTTCGAGCCCTAGTCCGGGAAAATCCCACATGCCGCGGAGCAACTAGGCCTGTGCTCCATGACATCCCGCGAGCCACAGTTGCTGAAGCCTGCACGCCTAGAGCCTGTGCTCTGCAACAAGAGAAGCCACCGCAATGCAATGAGAAGCCCGCGCACCACAACGAAGAGTAGCCCCCGCTCGCCGCAACTAGAGAAAGCCCGCGCACAGCAACGAAGACCCAATGCAGCCAAAATAAATAAATAAATAAGTTAATTAATTAAAAACAAAAAGAAAATGGTAGTGATGGGTGAAGTACTTAAAAAGAAAACAATAATACTATTCAAATGTACAAAAAGACCAAAAGTATAGACAGGGGAAGGATACAAACCAACTTAAGGATAGCAGATCTGAAGAGGGAGGGGATAGGATTAGATATGATGCGCCTAGGACTTTAACAGACCTGAAACAGATATGGTAAAAATTTCGCAGCTATTAGATATTGATAGTAAGTGCATGGGTATTTGCTATTCTCTCTAATCGTAGTATATTTTAAATATTTCATAATTTTAACTAAGTTAAAATTAAAAATAAAGGTTAGGGGGAAATCTGTGAGCTGCTAAAATCCTTTTTTTCTTTCTTTTTTTTTTTGGTAAGCCATATTTTTCAAATAGCAGACTTATAGGTAATTCACTCTCTTCCTTAGATTTTTCAGTATTTTGTGGGTTTAAACATTCAAAACTGGCAAATGCAACCTTAGACCCTGACCCCATTGATAAGTACATAGAGCTCATATAATAAGAAATAGTCAGTCCCGTTTGAGTCTGTTCAGATCATATCCTGAGCATCACGTTTGATTATAGGCACCATGTTTTAAAGAGCTTCCCCAGGTGGATGGCTGGGAAGGCGGGAGAGGAGCCTGCATCTGAGCCAACAGAGAAGAGAAGTGAACACAGAAAGGGGCGGGGAGCACAGGGCTGTCCTCGGTGCTGGAAGGACCTTCCAGCAGGTGAGGGAGGAGCTGTGTTTCAGGTTGTTTTCAGAAGAACCAGAAGTAGGAGGACCTCTGGCTGAATGCTCCAGGGATGAAGATCTATCTGGTCTCTGAATCAACAACTTGCCAGCACTTGGAGCTGAGCTGGTGGTCTACAGCGCAGTGGACTCTGCTTCAGCTGTTCTGCTCCCTGCCCTCCAGGAATTCAGGCAGACCGCAGGGGTGACTGTATGGACGTCTACAAACCTATGGCCGGCCCTGCCCCCTCATTATATTATGTCTTTAGTGGAATGCCGGAATCTCCAGCAGTCTAGAGAAGTGGTTCAGACTGAGGGCTCCAGCCAGGCCGTCTCGTTGGGCTTGGGGCTTTGCCACTTGCTGACCAAGACCATTCTGCCAGCGCCTCCCACAGTGAAGTGTCACAGAGATGCTGTCTCGGTCCCTCGGGGTGGTGTGGGCTTGCACGAGTGAGGCCCCCCCGGGGCTCAGAGCCTGCGTGCCACTTCACAGGCGCCAACAGTGCTAGCCTGACAGCAGAGGAAGCTGTGGCTTTGCTGGAAGTCGGGCAGGCTCCCGGCAGCACCACCCTCCCCATCCCCGGCCCAGGCGTTTAGAAAACGGGGCTCTGAGCCGTAGTCATACTGGAAAAGGACTGAGCGCGCTACTTTTTAAATCCTGCAGTTCTTTGAAGGATTACTATCAGTGATATTATTCATATGTCTTTTAGATACTTTAATATATTTTGTTGACTTAAAATGACAGAGGAAAGAGTCTGTTTTTTGTTTTGTTTTGTTTTTATACACCTCCCCAAAGGGTTTTCAGGAATTCTAAAATTAGATGTTTAATCACCGAAGTGAAAACATTTGGGAATGGGAGAGGACTTGGAGGAAGGATAAAACTTGAAATCACAGAATTTTATGTGTGGAAGCAATGTTATTAATAACTATTATTATTTTAAACTCTTATTTTTAATTCTTGATAATTATTTATGAAACTGTAGGATAGAGGCACATTCAGTGAGTTAATTCTTATCATATGTGGTGTCAAAATCAAAAAAAGCATGCTTCAAGAATGGATGACTCGGGAACATATGTATCTGTATAGCTGATTCACTTTGTTATACAGCAGAAACTAACACACCATTGTAAAGCAATTATACTCCAATAAAGATGTTAAAAAAAAAAAGAATGGATGACTCCTCTTTCTCCGTTTTGAAGTCTTAAAAGTAGTTTTTTTGTTATTCTTTGGATTCACTTTCGTTCTAGTGGTATCTTTACTGTTTCTTTTTACGTGATTTCTGTGCAGTGCTTTTTGAAGTGCAGCATTTACGGTATCTTGTGAGCCTTTGATTTACAATTAAGGAATATATAGTCCTTTTTTTCCCCCCCCACCAAGGTTTCTAATTGCATCTTTTTTGATGGAGTCAGAAGCACAGTAGACGTGCTCTATCTCCCTTTCTTGTTCACTGATTGCTTAAGGTAGGAGGCGTCAGACTTGGAATTAATGGTCAGTGACTTGGCCGTGCTCTGTGTTATTCAGTAAACTGTAGCCTCCATAGATACCGGTTCCTCCCCAGATTCCTGGCTTCTTATCTCTGTGTGTCTGTCTCTGTGCACTGGGTGCGTGCACCTGTCTTTGAACCACTGTAGAAGGCCTGTCACTGTTAATGATTAACACCTACTGCCAGGAATTTGGATTTTCCATTATTAAGTGGCCTGTGCCGAGCAATTAAACACGTAGTACTTGAAGCGTGATCTCAGCGACCAAAAGAATGTTTTTGTGTGCTTCATAATTTCAAAGTATCCAAAGGGCTTCTAACACCCCAGGCTTTTTTTTTTTTTTTTACACACTTCTGAATGTTTTAAAAATTCATTCAGAAGGAAGAGTACTTTGGCTGCTTTCTCTTTGATATTTTTTTCTCTTATGAAGTCTTAGGCAAGTGATTTTTTTTTTTTTTTTTTCAATTTATAAAGTCATTGCAAGGGGATTCACATTTTGGTTTGGGACCTGGAATTTAAAATGGTTTCTTATGCAATTACTGTAGCAGTAACACAAAAAGCCTAAGTGAATTTACTGCCTTTATCTCTTCCTCATGCCATTTCATTTCACAATAGCTAATTGGATTGTTATCTACACGACTGAAAAGTAATATCTTAACAAAAGGGCAGACTGTAATGAGTTAGAAATTAGAAGCTGACTGGAAATGAGCCTCTGTCCCCAAATACACTACAGTAAAATCTCCAATTTGGACAAACTGGTTGAAGAAAGCCACCAGTTAAATAATGGATTCCAGAATTTTTTTTAACAGGTAACATTTTCTTTTTTTCTTATCAAGTAATAAATAGTCATTTATATCTGGCACAATGTAATGAAGAAATACTGTTCTCTATAAAAATCAGCTGATATTTATTAGCAGAAGTAATTTGAATATCAGTTGGTCTTAAGAAAATCATTTCTCCTGCCATTTTGTTTATGAAGTTTGTTTAGAAAAAATAAAGAATGTTTCAGAGGTGAATTTCGGTCCACTTTGGTAGAATTACCGTTAAGTTCAGAATTGGTTTGATCTGAATAAAGAACCTTTATTTTTAGGGCTCTCCTTTTCTTCTTGATATTATCATATTTGTCTGTGGGAGGATGGCCCTCCGCGTTTATTTTCCTTTATGACTCCAGTCCCATGGCCCAGCTCTCGTTCCTTCCATGAGCCTCTGTCTTGCACTGTCTCTTCACACATCAGTACTTTAGAGGTGGCCTCTGGAAAGCGGCCTGCTTGTAATAAAGTGTGACATGTTCAAACCATGCTCATAGCTCTCAAAACTCATAGCTCTCAAAGCTCACAGCCCAAAGCTCCACCTGAGAAGGCGGAGTTTCTCACAAAGTTTTTGGCATTAGGATATCCTAAGATTAGCTTTGTCTGGAGCGGTGGAACTAAAAGTTTGCAGATGCCTTGCTTTCTATGGGAGTGCTTGATTTATGGCAGGCTAGTCTGGAAGAGAAAGCAGTTCAGCACAGAAAGGAACATTTATGTCTCTGGTACAGGACGGAACACTTTACAGAAATGAAATAAGAATGCGGATGTAGATTAAAAACAATAGAGTTCTCAGTTTTACTACTGAATAAGTTTTCTCTAATAGGAATAAAAGTATTCTTCATAGATTTTCTATTTCTTACAAGTTCAATCATTCTAAAACCAAAACCGAGAGGAAGTTACATTTTAATCAGTCAGTGTCACGACAGAGGGACTTTTGTTAGCTAATTCATGGTATCTGTGTATAAAGTGACAGTTTCCATCCATCCGTGGGATCCTGATAAGTTCTCTGTGTACTGACTGTATTTTCCAGCAGCTTATCATTTTAGCGATGTTGTGTGTTCATTTCTGATGGGCCTTCACCTGACCCCTGTCACGTTCGCTTTGTTTTTCCCCTTAACCTCTCCACCACGGTGTGTTAATTCCCTAAGCAAATTCTTAAATACCCTAAGGAAAGACATCGGAACCGCCACAGTCTTTGTGACAAGAAGAACTATCCTTTAATTAGTCAAGCTTTCCCTTTTGGCTTTCATTTTAAATGGGACTTTCACATCGGTACTTGGTCGCTGTGTGTTGATGTACATCTTATGTGTCAGCTGATTGTACAAGCCAGAGAGGATAACAAAGTGTGATGACTCTTTTCGGGCCATAAAACCAGAAGGGCCACAGACAGATGGGACCTGGGGCCCACAGCTTGACACTCTTCACACCTGACGTTGTGGCCAGGTGTCCTGTGTGCGTCCCTGTGGATGAGGTGCAGCCTGCCCGTGTCACAGGATGAGCCCGCTGTGCCTCAGCCTCAGGGGATGCTTATCTGTCTTCTTTTGAGTTGGGCTTGGGAAAAGGTGGGTAAAAATTTCATAAAGAACCTTCCATGGGCTTCCCTGGTGGCGCAGTGGTTGAGAGTCCGCCTGCCGATGCAGGGGACACGGGTTCGTGCCCCGGGAAGATCCCACATGCCGGGGAGAGGCTGGGCCCGTGAGCCACGGCCGCTTAGCCTGCGCGTCTCCGCAGCGGGAGCGGCCACAACAGTGAGAGGCCCGCGTACCGCGAAATTCATAAAGAACCTTCCATAAAGAAGGGCACATCTGAGAAACCACATGGTAAGGCTCAAAACCTGCCGCTTAATGATGCTTATGGCCCCTAATAAAGCAGGGGCCATCAATTACATGAGCCAATCTGCCCCCCGCCCCGCCCCCTAAAAAAACACCCCCAAAACCATGAAACAAAAAAAACCCTAGACGGGCCAGAGGGAGCCTTGTGCGCGTGCGAGTCCCCGATGTGCTGAGGTCCAGCGCGGCCCGTCTTGGCTGCAGGGGGCGCGCGGTCCGGGGGACCTGCAGCGGGCGGGCGGTGGAGCTGAGCGGGGCGCGGCAGCCCGAGGTGACGCTGACGCTGTTCCCTGCGGCAGGAGCTGCGGTCCCGGGAGGAGGAGCTGACGCGGGCCGCCCTGCAGCAGAAGTCACAGGAGGAGCTGCTCAGGCGGCGGGAGCAGCAGCTGGCCGCGCGGGAGATCGACGTGCTGGAGCGCGAGCTCAACATCCTCATCTTCCAGCTGAGCCAGGAGAGGCCCAACGTCAAGAAGAGGAAGGGCAAGTTTAAGAGGAGCCGCCTGAAGCTCAAAGACGGGCGTCGGATCAGTTTACCTTCAGGTACGATCTTGTCCCCGTGTTCCCTAAGACCCGGGTGGTCATCCCACCTGCGCGCTTCTTTGTTTCATCAGAACCGGGGGAGTGAGCTTTTAAAGCATCGAACGAATGAGATCTTCATCTCTTGCTTCAGCTCGTGGTCATAGTAACGACCTAATGAGTTTTCACGGGTCAAACAGCCTAGGGAGGGAGTGCACCGCAGGCCACTGGGTGCTGCGAATCCCACCCCAAGCATCCTCTTCTGTTAGTGGAGACATTGATTTACTCCTTTGGAAATCAAAGCAGAATTAATTTCTCTTTAGCTGATTGCACTGAACCGGCATCACTTGGCATGGCGAAAATCCAGCCCAGAGCTATCTTACTCAAAACGTGTAAACAATTAAGAAACATGAAAACAGTGAAGAAATGATTTCTTTCACCCTACCCATGTCAAGCTTCTTGTCTCTAATCGTAGTAGCAAGAGAAGTGGAATAAATTAAAAGGTACAAGTGCAAGGTCAGTTAGCAGCAAAGAGCTGATTATTTATCTATGTATTTAACATTATACAGCAGTTAGGATTTCATTTTATTTGGGGAAAAAAAGTCCAATTGAACATTTAACTTAAAACAATCTTAGTACCTAATTTTTTAACCAGATCAAAGTTTTGAACCTAAAAAACAGAGGTATATTTTAAAATTGTAATTTAAGCCAACTTTTCATTAGTCATCACAACTGTTTGACTACAATTACCTTTTAAAATCTGAACATACTTAGGTTTTGTCACTAAGTTATTGCTTCCACAAGGATCGCGGGGCTGTGATCTGGGGCACTAAGGTTGCTATTCACACGCTCAGCAAAGTGTATCTAGTGCCTCGGTTACACGCCCACTTTCATCTGAGGGTTCAAAATCGTTGAGGTACGAGAACGAACCAGTAATTCTAGGGAAACTTTTAAAAATATTTTTAAACCATTGTGACAATAACATAGAAGGAATACGTGTCAGGAGAAACTAAACAGAATACAAAAGAGCAAACATATGTTAGTTCACGAAATTAAGTTCTTTGATGTTATGTGTTATACTTTGCTTAAGGGGACACCAGATGTCTGCCTGTTGTTTCGCAGCTCTTTCTAACAGGGCAGGATGGTGACAGAACTCAGAGCTGGCTGCACCTGTATAGAATGTGCAGGAAGGTCTATATATCTGTTTCTACCTCTCTCTGTGTCTCTCTCTATATGTATTACATCTTAAAGAGCTCTTCGTGGATTCTAGTGTTTTCCTGAGATGTTTGATAATGGTGTGGAAATTTGACTTAAATAACAGTAACAACAGTTTTGTTTTATATAAAGTATGTATAAATTGTCTTGTAAAAATACTTACTGCAAAATCCTAGAAGCCTTGCAGCATACTGTGATCTTTTAGGTCATGGCAGAAGTCCTCAATTGATCAGAAAATTGCTGGAATGGGGTAGCCAGGAGTACACAGTATACATTATTGATTATGTGTTTCGATGAGGTGAGAACAGGCAATGGGTCCTTAATTCATTTTACCTTCGCCCTCTCTGGGAGCAAAAAAAGTACTTTCCCAGGTTCTTTTCTAATATTTGCTTTTAGCCAAAGTGTAACTTGAAGGACCATTCACTGGACTGTCTGATATGTCAGACATAATTTAAAATATTTTCTGTATGACGAGGCTTCTGCTTTCAATATAGACGATAGAAAAATTCAGAGAGGCACTCAGTGTGAGTTTTCTTCTCCAGTCCTGAGCTGTATCAGCGTTCTTCTATCTGCACTGTGACTCTGTTAACCATAATTAATATTTATGAATTGCCTTGTAAAACTTTGGATGGGGGAGCTAATTAGACACTGATGGAAAGTAAACTTGGGGGAAACAATGAAATCATTCCAGTGATTCTTTAATCTTCCTAGGAGAGTGATTAAATAAAATATCTCAGGATTCTCGAGGTGGTTCTTCTCAAATGTTGCTTGGCCTAATACCTTGCATTTATTCAGCACAAATTGAATATATTTTACCATTTTTGCTAGACTTATATTATTCCTGGATTGTACTATTTGCCTTTTCTATTATAGAGGGGTCCTTTTAGTTACACGTTACTTTACCTTGTGCCGCTTAATAAAAGATTCTAGTTAAAACATAACCCATAAAATCTACTAATCCTGATCCATTTTGAAGGAATGAAATGCAGCTTCTATAATTTAGGATGGCAGTTACCTCTTCTGCCCACAAGATGGTGCTACATTGTCGTGACACTGGTACCACTAGGGAAACTTTTTTTCCCATTCGAATCCCCCAGCTCTACACTCCCCTAGCTCTACACTCCCCTCTACACACACACACACACACACACACACACACACACACACACACACACACACACACACACACACACGGGTTACTTGCCCAACATCCCAAAGTAGGACACACATCCGAAGATCCAAAGAAAAGAATGACAACCAGAAAAATAATTCTTTTTCTCCTTCAGGAATCTTGCTGAGTAGAGAAAGCAATTATTTGTACCTTATTAAGTTCATGGGAGTTAGCTGATTTAGATATTATCATCTGCTAGAAAATTCTTTGAGGTACCAGATTTTAGTACTATTTAATGGTACATTTTTAAGGAAGAAACGGCTGACAGGTGATAGATTGAAGGGTGGTGATACCTTCCTTTCAGCATACCAAATTACTTGAACCCCTTTTGCAGGGTTTTTTCCATGTGTAACTAGCTGAAAGAATTTCTCAGAAACGTATTTGAGACTCCTACAAACTGGTTCTTAATATTTATGCCTGTGGATCTTTCAAAAATTTGTTATTAAATGTGAATAATTATCTAATTATTGTAATTTTGTCCTACAGAATCACTGATGGTAGCTTTGAATCTTATGGCTATTTATAGCTATGGTGACTTACTGCCAGAAAACTCAAATGTAATTATTCCTTCTGGCAATCCTGCATAGCTAGCGAATAAGGAAGAGAAATGCTTATAAAATGAGACAGCATAATCTAAGAGTTTGTAAATTACATTTTGTGCATCCTTGGAATTTGTAGAACGAAAAAGAACGATCATGGCAGATATTTTTATATTGTTACCACTTTGTATCACTCCTGCTGTATTATGTTTATTCTGAACCAAAGTTGTGTTTTTAGAACATATAAAACAGGTCAAAGAGGTTTTGAAGCTTTCAGAGGTCGGCGTGTCTCTAAAGCCGTGGTATTCTCACTTCAGCCATTTCAGAAGTGCCAGAGTCCTGCCTGGCATGCGTGAGTGTGAGTGAGTGTGTGTACACCCATAGGGAGAGAAGGCAAAAGCTCCACCAGGACTCTTCAAAGAATACTGCAACTTCTACTGTAAAAATGATGATTCCCACTGAGCCGTGTCAGTGTCCTTAGTGAAACATAAATAGTGTCAGGGGAAATACAAGTACAGGTTTACTCAAAAGCCTGTGGCCCTCCTGATAACCTGCCATGAGCAGATACCTTGAGAACACGTCTAGCAAGCGGTCCAGAGAAAAACTGGACATTGGCCAGGGCCCCTTAACAGTTCAGCCCAAGTTTTCCTAAATGTGTAACTAGGACAGAATCAAGCTTTCCCCATTTCATAGGGACAAGGATGTTTATCATAAAGAATATTTTATTTACGTTTAAAGCACAGAGCGCCTTTTTTTCCCTCTGAGTGAAAGGATTTAGATTTTTTCAGAAGACCAGAAACACTCCAGATCTTAGGGATTGTTGAAGTCCAGTCTTGTGCCTTTGTAACTCGCCCTTGGCCTTAAAACCTTCCATGCTGTTTCCCTGACCCGTGCCTGGCGTCTCTCCTCCCATCATTTGTTCCCCATGGTTTGCCGTTCAGATGCCATGGCCTGATTCTGTGTTCTAGTGCTGAGGCCTGCAAGAGCAGCCCGCCTTCTGCTCTGGGCTGGAGGCTCATCCACAGCGTGCAGACAGACCACAGGGCTAGTTGAACCTTTATAATGCACTTCAGTCTAAATCGTTTCATATCTTTGGATAAGAATATTTCTTTCTTTTCCTACCTGCTTCCCCTCCCCCCAGTTCAGTTAGTCATCTGCCCTGATGAGCTGCTTTCTTGCATCCATTCTTTCCTTTCCTTAACTGCTCTGCCCAGTCAAGTCTTTCTTGCTCACGTAGATGGTAGATGGACAAAGCCTCCCATCTGGCACGTCATTTCCATTCGCTTTGTCTTCACAACATGATCTCTGCCCCTGTGTTACTTGTAGTCTTTTCTTCTAATTGGAGTACAGTTGCTTTATGATGTTGTGTTAGTTTCTGCTGTACAGCAAAGTGAATCAGCTATACGTATACATATATCCCCTCTTTTTTGGATTTCCTTCCCATTTAGGTCACCACAGAGCACTGAGTAGAGTTCCCTGTGCTATACAGTAGGTTCTCATTAGTTATCTATTTTATACCTAGTATCAATAGTGTATATATGTCAATCCCCATCTCTCAATTCATCCCACCCCTCCCCCCTTGGTATCCATACATTTGTTTTCTATGTGTGTGTCTCTATTTCTGCTTTGCAGATAGGATCACCTATACCATTTTTTTAGATTCCACATATATGGGCATATACCCAGAGAAAACCGTAATTCAAAAAGACACGTGCACCCCAGTGTTCATAGCAGCACTATTTGCAATAGCCAGGACATGGAAACAACCTAAGCGTCTCTCAACAGAGGAATGGATAAAGAAGATGTGGCACATGTGTATACAATGGAATATTACTCACCCATAAAAAGGAACGAAATTGGGTCATTTGCAGAGATTTGTAGAGATGTGGATGGACCTAGAGTCTGTCATACAGAGTGAAGTAAGTCAGAAAGAGAAAAACAAATACCGTATACTAACACATATATGTTACTTGTAATCTTAAACAGAGAAGACATTGATTCAGCAAAGATTTGCTACGCACCTTTCCTGTGCACATTTGGAGGTGGTCACAGTGATGGCAGCTGACTCCTTCCCCCCAACATAGAGAGCTGACGTTGTATTGGGGGCAGCCTTAAGCTAATAATTAAACAAATGCTTATTTTTTTTGCTATAATTATTAACTACTGTGAAGGAAACGTCATATGACAGTGATTAGTAGAGAGATGTCTCCTGGTCTAAGGAGATCACAGACAGCTTCCTCACAAAGAAACATTTAAATGGAGACTCGAAGTAGGAATTTACCAAACACGAGGGGAACGGGCAGGGAACACCTGCGAAGAAACTTGGTTTCTTCCAAGAATTGAAAAAAGGCCAGTGTGGCTTGACTCTGCCCCCTGGGCCAAATCCAGCCTCCCACCTGTTTTGTACAGCTCACAAGCTAAGAACAATTAAATACTAGAAAAAACGATTTTCTGACACATGAACACTGCAGGAAAGGTAAACTGCAGCGTCCATAATAGAGTCGTATTGGAACACACGCCTTTATGTGTTTGTGGGCATGCTTTCTCGCTCCATCAGACCATATGGCTCATAGAAACTAAAATATTTACTGTGTGGCACTGCTTAGGAAAAGTTTGCTGACCCCTGGTGTAGACCACGGCGAGTGATGGGAAAGCAGGGCACGATGAAGCTAGGGTGGCACAAGGAGCCCAGACTCTGATTTGCAGGGGACTGGAGAGGATGTTATGATTTTGACCTGTAACTTTAAGAATGATGAAAAGCCTTTGAGGGATTTTAGCAGGGGAATGATAGTCAGCCATGCATTTTTAAAAAGACATCTGCCTGCTGTGAGGTAGACCAGAGGGGCCAAACAGAGATGCTGAAAGATTGATCAAGGGATTGTAGCAGCCTCTGCGTGAAATGATGGTGGCAGTGGAAATGGAGAGAACAGAAAGCATCACTAATGTGTGTTGAGCATTTATTATGTCCTGAGCCCTGTACTTAAGTATTTTCTGTATTTATTTGTATTTAATTTTTCCTAACTGTCCTGTGAAATAGGAATAATTATTTTTTCCATTTTTGTCAATGAAGGTGCTGTGACTTAAAACAGATTGTTACTTTCCCAAAATTCATATGGCTAGTAAGTGATAAGCTGGGATTCATTCACATCTGGAGTTTGCTGATTCTAGAACCTAGAGTATGAATTTCTCAACTATAACTCTAAGAAGAATATATAACAAGAGTTTTACAAGATACTTTGTGTTTGACTGGATATGGAGGGTCAGGGAGAACACAATATCAAGAAAAGTTTCAAATTTCTAGCATGAGTAATTGGATAGATGTCTTGCCTACCAAATTCAAACTCCTCATTTCAAATACCAGGTGGTTCTTTAAAGTTCTTTAATTTTCAAAAAGGCAAATTATAGCTGTCTTGCATATGTGAAATGAACATGTGTCAATGATTTTATTCAACTTATTAATTAATGAGGGAACCAGTTCAAATTGGTTCACATGAGAATTTGAGGACCTAAGTGTTTATGGTCAATTTAGTAAAGAAATGTTAGGATTAGATTGCTAGGCTAAATACAAACCCAATATGGCAGTAAATCATAACCTTTGGGATTTTCTTTTACACCAGACAGCAGTTATTGGCATCATCACCAGACAAAATCTACAAGTTAACCTCTGCTCCTACTGAGTTGTAAAAATAGCCCAGTCAATAGAATATCAGTCAGAGGTTAAGCTCGGCACTGCACTGAAAGAACATCCAGTAATTTCTTTTACCTGCTTCTAAGTTTCTGATAATTTTTCTAGCAGTTTACAGAGTTTTCCCAGACACCCTCCTCTTTCCTCTGGTAATATGACTTTTCTTCCATATGTTCCCATAGTTCTTGGCATACCTCTGGCATGAGAGCTACCCTATATTACAGTTAGGTAATAGTAACCATCACATGTGTGTACCTTGACCACAAAACGCTTTCAACTGCAGGCAAGGGGGAGTTTCTCTTGACCCTGGCTGGGTCTGAAAATTAAACCGACACAAGCCAGATCCACAGGGGAAGAGCATAAAAATGTACTTGATGTAAGTTTCTGTGACATGGGAGCCTGCATCAGGAAAGAAAGACCCAAAGAACCAGACCTGAAAGTTGAGGAAGGTTGATGAAGGGTGGATGGTCCTGTGGAAATGTGACAGGCTAAGTAGTAAACATTGGGGTAGCATGTCCGGGGCCCCGCGTAACGTCCACTTTCCGTTCTAATCACCACGGCCACCCTGGGAGGTGTCTTCTGTTCTAGCCAACAACCGCAGGGACCAGCGCCGAGAGGCTCCTGACTAGTTTGGGGTCTGTAGTCTGTTAGTGACAGACCCAGGACTCATGTAAACCCAGGGTGTTTCCCATCTCGATTTTGTTTTCAACTCTATCAGACCGAATGAAGGTAACTCTTTCTCCCCGGAAGACCTTGAGTTCTGCAATACGCAGTAATAGTTTCTTTCCTTGTGAGCATGTGTCTCTCACCGTGCCTCATGCGTCATGACTCTGAGTCATTGTTTACGGACATGAGCCCTGAACGGAAGATAAGTAAGAAACTAGGAACAGACTCTGAGATACACCATATTCTTACTGTCTGGCAGTTCCTGCTTTTATTGCCATGTGCGAAAGCTGGGGCTACGGGAATAACCGAAAACCATGGACTCTCAGTTCTCATTTTTTTTTTCCCCATATCTGACAGATTTCCAGCACAAAATAACCGTGCAAGCCTCCCCCAACTTGGACAAACGGAGGAGCCTGAATAGCAGCAGCTTCAGTACACCGAGCAGCCCCACGGTGATCCCCCGACTCCGGGCAATACAGCGTGAGCTTTCTCCCCCACGGGGGGCTTCTTGGCGGCTTTCTGTCACTAACTGACTGGGATCCAACTTAAGCAGACATTCATAGCCGGTTCTAACCCTGTGATATTTAGGAGGTGTCAGAACTATTTGGAAAGCAAGATTTGGTCTTATCTTCCTTAGTCTCATTTTCTTGTTCTCACAATCAATGATTTTTAGATTCCACGCAATCGGTGACGTGACCAGGCCACAGAGGAGAAAGTGAAATAGTATCGTGAGACATTTTGTTAAACGCCTGCCTGCAACATTTGCATGACCTAGTTATATCAGTAGCCTCTTTATGGATATTTTGAAAGCTGAAATCAGGAATTCGAGGTTACTTCCATTCGTTTCATTGTTTTGTAAGGAAAAAAATATCTTGCTTTTTGAAATTTAGCTTGAATTTGGTCTGTGTTGACCAACCTAATGCAAACAGCCCTCCACTTAGGGTGGTTCGACTTAGGGTTTTTTGACTGTATGATGGTGCAGAGTGATTCACATTCAGTGGAAACCGTACTTAGAATTTTGCATTTTTTATTTATTTATTTATTTATTTATTTTTTTTTTTTTTTTTTGCGTTACATGGG